TATATATATATAAGTGTGTTGAGAGATACTCTGAGGGATATATGTATATCTCAGAATATATATTTAGTACCATTACAGTGCTGACAATGCTAACAGCTTCGTTGGTCTCAGTATTTTATTGTACGCGGATAATATTCATAATTCGAAATCGAACAGAACAACACAAACATCAGTAAGCATTCACTCATGGAACTCACTCATTAACAGGTCCATGAAAATTTCTTTGTTGTTTCATAGAGACGAAAAACTTGTATCAAGTGTTGTTTTGATAATAAATTGCAAGGCAGAAGATAGTGATTGTTCAGTGAATGAGTATCGAGTAATTCTTAGCATTCACTCGAACTCATCGAATTCCATCACGAAATATTTTAAATTTGGTACAATTATGACCGCTGTGCGCTAAAAAAATCGCATAGAATTTCTTGCAAAAAAATCAGATCAATTTATGAAAATGTAAGAAATGATAGAATAAAAGCTAAATTCAATGACTAATGACAAACAATCATGAGATCATAACATCTGTCCATGTGAAACAAGTTCATAGCATGCAATTCGTGGCAAGATTCGTTCAATATTATTAATGCCGCATTTATTATTCATTCTGTTAACAATATCGCTATGAACACATTGTTCAAATGAATACAAGAGAAGTAAAACTGTCCTTTAAAATTCAGATCAGAATTAGTATGTGAGGTAAATATTTGAATCATTTATTTTTACTTTACACATTATCTCAGGCGATAATGTTTCATTCACTTTCCCTCAAACTCATCACGATCATATGACGTGATAAAGTTGACCTTTTCGAGTGATTTCCTCTAAAACGGTTGTCATTCATGCTTCTTGGAGCTTTACTTTTTGATTTTGAACAATTATGAACTATTCGAAGTATTGTTACTATCTGAGGATGGCATTTTCGATATTCGAGAAATATTTCATTAAATTTTGCGGAAGTGTTTGTTACCATCACGTCCGACCTAATCACAAACACAGACTACATCACAGATATTAGATTCGTTATTCTTGACGTCTTTTCGAGTTTATTAATGTTATGTTCATGTCGGTGTAAGGTTCGGTTGTTTGCTTGCATTTACCTTCCTTAGTGTCCAATGAGTGTTCCTGAATAATCCTTACTTTAGGCCTCCATTGGTTTCCGACTTGAATCTTGAGAATCATTAACTGCCTATGTTCTACTCTTTAAAATCATTGTTGTAAATCGAAGCAAGGTTTATAGTGATAAGTAGAAGGAATTGAATTAGTTCATTCGAGCCGAACTAATTCATCTTAGTGTAAATTTATATTAGTAGCGTGGAATACCAACAATTTCATTGAGAGACTGTTCATAGATTTCAGAATACGGTAGAAAAGTGAAAATAAGATGGTTGTTCACAATCAGAGCCGATTCATTTGGTAAAACACGGGACAACGTTTTATAACCAACGTATATTAAAAAATTCTCCAATAGTTAGATTACAATTCACTAGCTCCATATCTCATTGAGGACTCTTCTGATGGAATCTAGTTAAGTAGCTGCAGCTCCGAATCCGTTACGAATGAAGAGATCTTTTCACTGCCTTTGGAGCGGTCTCAAGTATCTTTTGATGAACAGATGTTTATTTTTAAACATTAGAGCATAAGAGTGCACCTTCAAGTAACAAAAATCAAAAAAACACCTTGCATTAAAATTCAAAACTGGCAAAAATATGTAAAGAATGTATAATATTTTATTAGATCGGACTGCGACGAAACGGTCTTGAACCTACCCTGAAATCGTTCATATATCTGATTTTGCTTGCGAGAAAGATGAAAATCTCTTAACTCTGATAAATAAACCGAATGTGTTTATAAAACGGAGCAAATTTTTTCGACAATATTATTCGGCAAGTGCACTGTTCGTTATGCGAGCTTCCACTGTAATTACTTTGTTTTACCCGAAAAACCTAAGTGATGCCTAACACATTTTCACGCCAAACCTTCATGCTTCTGAGGCTCCTGACAACTGATCAGTAAACTGNTGACTGTAATATGACACCCAACTACATTAGAAGTCTATTGAAACAAGACGTAACATTTTAATCTAGTTTTCATTA